ATTTTGCTTTATCTCACTTTGTATAGCCTTCACTGCTTCCTTTATTTTGCACCTGTACTCAGTCATTTCTGTGAGCATCCTGATTACCAATGTTTTGAACTCTGCATCTGATTAGTTGACTCTCCTCATCCCTTAGTTCTTTTTCTAGGGTTATGATCTGGTCTTTCATTCAGGCTGTATTTCTTTGTCTCAGCACACCTGTTACATTGTAAGGGGTGGAGTGTTAGGTATTTGGCAGGGTAGGGCAACCTACTTTGCTGTGTTGAGGCGCTGTATCTGGGGAAGGGGTCAGAGAGGGAACAATGCCACTTGATCGGCTCTCCCCTGCTTTCAGTCACTTTCCCCGCTACCCACAAGCAAATTGGGCCCTTCTGGTGCTGATTCCAGGGTTAGTAGGTTTGTGTACATTCTAGGACCCTGTGAGTCCCTCCAATGCATTCTCCTGTGAGACTGGGAGTTTCTCCCACCACTGCAACCCCCTACAGATTTTTACAGCCAGAGATTTTGAGTCTTTATTTTGCTGCACTGGAACCCTGGGTTGCATGGTCTGTCTCTCTCCCCAGTTGTTCCCCCTGGTTTATCTGCACATGAATATGGGACCGCCAGGTCCTCCAGCTGTCACCTTGCCTACCCAGTCCACCAACCACTGCCTTGCCACGCAACCTCTCCACCCCAGCTGCCCATCTCCGTCCCTCTTACTAGTCTGTATAAATGTTTCTTCCTTAACCCTTGGTTGTTGGACTTCCATACAGTTGATTTTCTGGCAGTTCTGGTTGTCTTTGTTTCTAAATTGGTTGTTGTCCTTCTTTTGGTTGAAGCAAAGAGTATCTACCTATGTCTCCATCTTGGCCAGATGCCAGTGAACTGATTTTAAAGGAGAATTGAAGATTATCCTCATCTTAGTTGTGATATCAGCAGGTAATCTTTACATGTAATATGAAGATATACCATATACTAAATACACATGGGCAAGGCAGTGTGCTAAGTAATTTACATACATTGTGGTACTTAAGCCTCAGAACAATCCCTTTTTACAAGAGATGAAAGTGAGGTTAAGAGAAATAAATAAGCTGCCTGAGTTCACAGGTTGAAGAGTGGCAGACCAGGATTCTGGCTTAGGGCTTTCCCAGCTCAGAATCCATTTGCATTTGCAGAGCCACATTGTATTGAAAATGGTGTCATACATCTGGGTAACATTAAGTTGTCATCAGATATTCAGCCTCTTGTTACAGAGCATTGGTTGTAAGGAGAAAACTTGAGAAGAAAAAACAGTGCATGCAATACAGAGAGGGTCATGGGGCCTACTTTCTTCACCTCTAAGATTGGATGCCCTTCTTGTAAGCATCCTGGAGCAGATGTGACAGTCACCTGTGTGTTCTGTTCAGTTTTAATGTGTATATCAAGTAACTGGTACCAGTAAGATACAACATGAGTGATTTGAGAATAATATACCTTAAAAAGTAAACTAAGATTGATTCAAAGTAATCCCTAGAGTAATGTCTTGCTCACTAACTCACTTGCATTCCAGAATGCTTTCCTGAGTGGAACAAAGGGACTGGAGTGACAGCTTAACCCTTGAGATTGTTTGGAACCCTTGCTGTGCCCCTACTACCTACCCTATGAGAAGCTCATGGCACTGTATCTGTTAGATTATGTATATACATTATCTCACATGTTGCAGTGGAAAAGGATTGAGATCCGCTGTCAGGAAGTACTCAATAGATGTATACTGAAGTAATGAATGGACAGACAGTAGGTGCTTCCCATCCTTTTGGTTGGTATTATTACGAGGAAAAGAGGTGTAAGAGATGGAATGGATTTAAGCCTGTATAAAAATATTAGCAAACTTTTGTTCCTGTTGCTCAAAATTCTGTGAACTACTTAAGTAATATCTTATTCCACAGCTTATTCTTAGTATATCATAATGTAACAATACAAGCATTAGCCAAGAACATTAGAACTTTCATTTTTGAGATAAAAATTGATTCCATAATGAGAATCCGGGAATTCAGCCATTTGATGAGTCCCCTTCTCCCTGAAAATGTCATCACTAGCATTTGGAGATGAAGAAACTGAGAGGTCTAGACAATAGGGCCCATATATTTTAATTCAGCTATCATGGGCTCTCAAATGTTGTAGTACTGACTCCCTGGAGGTGTCAGCTCATAGTCAAAGGGCTTCATCTCACCAAGGAGAGCAAGAATAAGTGGGCTCCACTAGCAGTATGCTAATGAAGGCGATCTGGTAATGGCAGCATGGGACAGCCCAGAAAAGAGCCACGAGAGCAGGTTGTGTCATGAGTACAGGTGCAAAGCAATTCTCTTCCCATAGAGACAACTAAGACCCAGCCTCTCTAGAATTCTGGTCCTATTCCTTGTCTGGATTCTTTACATATCAGTACTGGGCACAGAACTGGAATGACAGTTTTCTGGGCTATTGGCGTTAACCAGTTCCACCATGGTATCTTATTGATCTTGAAGTTTGTTTTTTGTTTTTGTTTTTTTTTTGTAAGTCAAGTCTTTTTTTTTTTTTTTCTTTTTTTTTTTTTTAACTTTTTAGACAGAGGGGAAGGGAAGGAGAAAGAGAAGGAAACATCAATGTCTGGTTGCCTCTGGAGCTCCCCCTACTGGTAATCTGGCTTGCAACATAGGCATATGTCCTAGACTGGGAATTGAACCAGAGACCTTTTGGTTCACAGGAGGGCACTCAATCCACTGAGCCACACCAGCCAGAGCTGGATCTTGAAGTTTCAATGACTCCTGTAAACCACATGGGTGAAAGACGTGAAGTATCAGTGTCCTATAAAAGTGAATAAATTAGAGGTTGTGGGCAATTATCAGTGAATAGTTAAACAAATTACATCCTTATTAAAATAGTAATGGTGGCAATAGAAGGAAGTGGAAGAGGGGTGAGGGAGAGTGGTGAGTTGATGAGACCACAGCAGTTCAAAAGAATGAGAGGTTTGGGGGAGAAGTCCATGAGTTCCACATTAGATGTGTTTAGTTTTACTAGTCTTTTGGAATCCAGGAGCCTGACCCCACCCACCCTCCCCAACTAGTCCTGTCTGGAGCTCAGTAGAGAAGGTGGGGCCAGAGATAGATACATCCTCATGAGGGTGGCCCTGTAAGATATGGTGGGAATGAGGTGGCCCAGGGAGACTGCAGTGAGAGGAAAGGGGCCCCAGGCAGGACTCTGAGGAACTCCAACATTTAGCCAAAATGCAGCATTACAGGCACCCCCCAAAGAGCAGACTAAGTGGCAGAGAAGTCAGAGTGTGAACCAGGAGGGCGATATCTCTGAGGTCAACAAGAGAGGGCCCAGTGCTGCTGGGAGGCCAGGTGAGAGGAAGACCAAAAAGTGCTGAATCAATTTAGTAAGAAGGAGGTTGATATGAATTCGGTGAAATATAAGATTGAGTGTGTAAGACTTAATCTCTAGGCATTTTTCCAGTTTTGCTACTTTCTAGGGGAATAAAGCCATTGAGGATGGTTATTGCCATTTTCAGAAAACATGCAACCCCCGACTTCTGGGCCATTTTTGGTAGTTTTATTCCTGGCCATTATGTTCCACATTGTGCTGTAACTGGCTATTTTTGCTGTTGCCTGTTGCCAGTTCTCTAGGTGGGAGGTTAGAGCTAACATCAATGAGGTAGCTCGTGGGCAGTAGTGGCTTCAAGCTCCATTTGAAGGAAGGGAGAGCAGCTAGGGCAGAATATGACTCAGAAACATCTGAAGATGAGTTTTCATGACATTTTCAATATGAGAGTTGCTATAACAACCCAGATCTATAGTGATTGTTTCACTTTGATCCTGAAGAACATATGCTCTGATGTGCCTGCAAGCTGCCTTGGCCCTGTGAAGAGCTGTAGTGGGTCAGCTGCTTCATTAGATGCAATTAGATCTGTCACCTGTCATCAGGCCTGAGCCGTAATGGCCCATTACATATTTTTATAGTCAAACCTTAAGCCCAGACTTCTCTAAATGCTGCTGGGTCTGTTTATATTCTTACTGCTGAATCCATGATGCCCTGAGGGTATCCTAGAATCAGGTTGTATGCATTGGACAAACACCCTGGTGTCCAAATTGTATATTTGTATTAGAAAGCTGGCCTACAAAAGAGAATAAGAGAGACTTAGGGGTGTTTTACCTCGCAGGTCTTCTTGTTGGTGCTTTCAGGTTCTCAGGAGGCTCGGTGATTGCATAAGTTCATGTGTGAATATTCCTGGGAATCCAAAGATACAGACAGCATGCTTACCCATAGTTCTTTTCATTACAATAACAGGCCTTTACCAAATAGCCCAACAGTCCTTTGCTAGTAGTCAACGATTTTGGTTTAAATGGGAAAACATAATAAAGTGCTTTGTAAACAAGTAAGTGGTGTTCTTAATGACCCTTAATAATGTCTACTGTTTACTTGTCACATTGCCAGTCTGGCCAAACATTTTTGAAAAAAGATGTTAAACAACTAGATGTCAAGTCACATATGCCTCGGGAACAAAGGGACTGAAGAATAAATTGACTAGAAGACTCTTGAAGGGCATTCAGGCTTTGGAAATTCAGTTTTGTTTGAAAGCCAAACCAGTGTGGCAGTGCAGTGCCAAATTACAGTTCAGAAGGGCCGTGGCTGGCACCTGGCCAGCTGTGGTAATGAACATTTGCATAAGAGCTTAATTCATCCAGACTCTACCCAAATCTAATCAATGACTAAATATGGTTTGATAACATTTGAAATGTATTTCAAACACGCAAGTTGGAGTTTGAAAGATGTTTGTCTTCAAATCCAGTCTTTGTAAAATCTGGCTGAGACTTAAAATTTCTAATTTTTCCTTTTGATCATAATTCTCCTTTTAGATGTTTGGTGTAAATAAAAGACTAGTTCTTTGTTGTTCTGTGACTTAAATAGGTCTGCTACTGTCAAAGAGGAATGTAGTTCCTTGATTTTAGGTGCTACTTCATGAAATTAATGATTTTTCTTCTGGTGTCCCCCCCACCCCCTGCCAGGAAGGGCGCCTGTGGCCTTCAGACAGCTCTGGTCCTCAGCCAGGTGCCTCAGAGGTAAGGAGTTGGTTAAGGGAGGGGTGTAGGTGGCTAGAGGTGGCTGCAGGTGGCTGCCAAACCTGATATGCATAGAGGAGGGGAGAAGGGAAATAAACCATTACAACAAAACAGGTGGAAAAGTCAAGTGTATGACAACATAGATTAAGAAATAACATTTAAATTAAGGCATATGCCTATAACTTTAGTTTTAAAAGTGGGGAGGGGATTTTTAGAATTTCCTAGGGATTATTGATGCTAGTCTAAATCTCCATATAGAAAACACATTGAGAATCACTGATCTTTACATGACCCCATAATCTGCTAATAATGAGGACTGGCAGAAGTGGGCATAGTTTATAAATAGAGTATGATTCATTTCCACATCTTCAAGATTAACAGTATGGCTTAATAATTACAGAGTTTTTTGCCTTTAAGTTAAAAATATGGTACAGGGGAAGTCAATGGATGGATAGACACACATACACATTATGTTTCTTGTAGAAGAATGGATGGTGCAATAGATGAGAAGACTACGTAAGAATTCACTTGGGAAACAAAAATCTTTAATCATTTTTACTTTGGAATATAAAACATTTTTCATGTCAGTTACTTAACATAACTATAGGAAACTTTTGGGTAGAAAAAAATAACTGGAAAATATTAGAGACCAGAGGGAAAAATAAGTCACTTATTCCATATTTTTCTAAGTGCTTGATAGGGCAACAAACTCCTATAAGTAATTCATAAATTGAGCTAGTACCTCCTACCTGTTCTAAGAACCCTCAAGTGAAGTTATAATTTACATTTAAAATAAAAACTCTGGGCCACTCCCCTCTCTTCTGAATCATAGGTGGAAGAGTGGGAAAGGACCTGAGAAAGCAGGCAAGCTAGTCCTCTTATTTTATATGTAAAGGAGTAGAGGCCTGAACCAGGTCATGTGGTGAACAGGACCAGAGTGTCTTCTGTACAGCACTCTTCTGCTATGTTACTCTTTATTTCACTCTGGAAGTTCCTATTGTGTGTTCTTCTACCCAGTGGAAAATGTACACATAGTGTACACATAGCATACACAATAACTCCCATTAAATCCAAATTTTCAGTTAAGCACCATTCTCTGTTGTAGAACCATATTGGATAAACTATACTTTGGCAAGGGGAGTGGTCTAACCCCTGAAGAATAAGAAAACTACAGGTGAAGACAGCGGAGGAGTGAATAGAAGTCACACTAACCTCCTCCCAGGACAAATCTAGAATTACAACTAAATTGTGGTGAAAGTGCCCAGAAAACAAAAACAAAATCTGAACAATAGCAATAGAGAAGCCTTATAACCTCGGACAGAGAAGAACCACAACCTGACCGCACCTGCACAAAAACACACAAGATGTGGTGGGCAGAGTGACCCTCTGTCAACCAGCTGGAGGGAAGGACCCACAAAAGAACAACCAAACAGTCAATACCCAATTACTTCCAGAGAGCCAATATAAATGGCATAAAAGACGTCCAAAGAGCAGCAAGATCAGGAGATTGAGGAGATTGCACCACTGAATCTCACAGGTCTCCTAACATAGAAGTTAACACCACAAAGTCAGGAAGTCAACATAGATCAATTTAAGAAGCAAAAGCAAAAAAGAAGAATCTCACAAATAATGGGTAGGCAAAGAAACAACATCCAATCCAAAGGAAAGGGGGAATCACCAGAAAGAGAACTAAATGAAATAGAGGCAAGTAAACTATCAGATACTGAGTTCTAAACAATGGTTATAAGGAAATTCAGTGAGCTCAGAGAGAATTACAAAAAACTACAGGGAAACTAAGGGAAACTTACTGCAAACTATAGCAGCATGAAAAAGGACATAGAAACTATCAACAAGAGGTAAGAGGAAATGAAGAATGCAATCTCTGAATTGAACACAATAAAGAAATCAAAAGCAGGCCAGAAGAAGCAGGGAATCGAATCAGTGAGCTGGAGACTAAGGTAGAAAAAAGCATCCAGAAAGACCAAGAAAATGAAAAAAGACTCAAAAAGAAGGAAGATGCACTTAGGGAAATGCAGGACAACCTAAAATGTAATAATATCCACATAATAGAGATACCAGAAGGAGAAGAAGAGGAGCAAGGGATAGAAAACCCCTTTGAAAAAGTAATGATGAAAAACTTCCCTAATTGGAGGAGAGAAAAAGTCATGCAAGTCCAGGTAGCACAGAGGGTCCCATTTAAGAGGAAACCAAGGAGGCCTACTCCAAGACACATCATCATTAAAATGGCAACTATCAAAGACAAAGAGAATCCTCAAGGCAGCAAGGGAGAAGGAGAAAGTAACATACAAGGGGGCTCTGATACGGTTAGGAGCTGACTTCTCAACAGAAACACTACAAGCCAGAAGGGAGTGGCAAGAAATATTCCAAGTAATGAAAAGCAAAGGCCTGCAACCAAGACTGCTGTACCCACCAAGGCTCTCAATTAAAATAGAATACAAAATAAGGAGTATCCCAGATACAAGTAAGGCTTAAAGAATACACCTCCACCAAACCAGCACTAAAAGATATGCTAAAGGGACTGCTTTAAGAAGACGAAGAAAAAGAGTGAGAAAGAGAGGAACACAGGGAAAAAATGGCAATTTTTTTTTTCCTTTGAATGAGATCAAAGGAAATCAGAAAGTTTCTGGAAACAAAAGAACATGAATACACAACAGTCCAAAATCTATGGGACACAGTGAAGGCAGTCCTGAGAGGGAAGTTCATAGCAATACAGGCCTACCTAAAAAATGTAAAAATATTTCAGACTGGTTCTTTGAAAAGATAAACAAAAATGATAAGACTTTAAGCAGATTCATCAAGAAAAAAAGGAGAGGACCCAAGTAAATAATATCAGAAATGAAAGAGGAGAAATTACAACTGTTACCACAGAAATACAAAGGATGGTACAAAATTACTATTAACAATTATACACCAAGAAATGTGGAAACCTTGGTGAAATGGGCAACTTTCTTGGAAAATATAACCTTCCAACATTGAATGAAGAAGCAGCAAAAAGCCTGAACAGACTGATAACAGCTGGTGAAATTGAAGCAGTAATCAAGAAACTCCCAGCACACAAAAGCCCTTGACTGGATGGTTTAAAAGGAAAATTTTATAAAACATTAAGGAAGACCTGATCCCCATCTTTCTCAGACTCTTCCAAAAAATCCGAGAAGAAGAAAGACTCCTCAGCGCTTTTCATGAGGCCAGCATCATCCTAATCCCAAAATCAAGTAAATACACAAAAAGGAAAGAAAATTACAGGCCAATATCACTGACATACATAGACTCTAAAATCCTAGACAAAATTTGGGCAAACCACATCCAGCAATTCATTAAAAAGATCATATACCATGATCAAGTTGGAAGCATCCTAGGGATGCAAGGATGGTTCAATATTCGCCACTTAAAAATGTAATACATCACACAAATAAAAGGAAAGACCAAAAAATCACATGATCAAATCAATAGATGTGGAAAAAGCATTTGATAAGGTATAGCATCCATTTATGATAAAAGCACTCAGCTAAGTGGGAGTAAAGGGGGAATACCTCAACATAATAAAGGCAATATATGAAGCACCCACAGCCAACATCATATTCAACAGGCAAAAACTAAAAACTTTCCCACTAAGATTGGGAAGAATACAAGGTTGTCTGCTTTCACCACTTCTATTCAACATAGTATTGGAAGTCCTAGCCACAGCAGTCAGACAAGAAAAAGAAATAAAAGGCATCCAAATTGGGAAGGAAGAAGTAAAACTATAATTGTTTGCAGATGGCATTATTGTATACATAGAAAACCCTATAGACTCCACCTAAAAACCACTCCACGAAATAAGTGAATTTGGCAAAACAGCAGGATACAAAGTCAATATTCAGAAATCAAAGGCATTTTCATACACTTACTATGAAATAACAGAAGTAAAAATCAGGAAAAAATCCCCTTTGCTATAGCAACAAGAAAAATAAAGTACCTAGGAATATACATAACCAAGGAGGTAAAAGAACTGCACTCAGAACACTACACAACACTAAAGAAAGATATTAAGGAAGACCCAAATAAATGGAAACATATACCATGTTCATGGATTGGAAGAATTAACATCATCATAATGTCCATACTACCCAAAGCAGGTTATATATTTAGCACAATCCCTATTAAAATATCAATGATGTATTTCACAGATATAGAACAAACATTTCAAAAATTTATATGGAACCATAAGTGACCCTGAATAGCTGCAGCAATTATGAGAAAGAAGAACAAAGTAGGAGGGATCACAATACCTGACATAAAACTATATTACAAGGCCACTGTAATCAAAACAGTCTGGTACTGGCATGATAACATACACATAGGTCAATGGAACAGAATAAAGAGACCAGAAATAAACCCATGTCTCCATGGTCAATTAATATTCAACAAAGTGGGGCAGAAACATAAGATGGAATAAAAATAGTCTCTTCAACAAATGGTGCTGGGAGAGCTGGAGAGCTACATACAAAAAAAATGAAATTTGACCACCAACTTAACACCATACACAAAAATAAACTCAAGATGGATAAAAAACTTAAATATAAGTAGCGACATTATAAAAGCTCTGGAGGAGAACATAGACAGGAAACTCTCAGGTATTCTATGCAGCAATATTTTCACCGATATGTCTCCTAAAGCAAGGGACATAAAGAAAAGAATAAACAAATGGGACTTCATCAAAATAAGAAGCTTCTCCATGACTGAAGAAAACATCAGCAAAATGAAAAGGGAACCACTGTATGGGAAAATGTATTTGCCAATGATACCTCGGGCAGGGGTTTGATCTCCAAAATATTTAAGAAACTCACACAACTCTACTCCAGTAAGACAAACAACCCAACTGAAAAAATGGGCAAAAGACCTGGACAGACACTTCTCTAAGAAAGAGATACAGAGGGCCCAGAGACATATGAAAGGATGTTCACCATCACTAGCCATCAGAGAAATACAAATTAAAACTGCAATGAGATACCACTTCTTCCAGTCAGAATGGCTATCGTAACGAGATCAACAAACTACAAATCTAGCGAGATTGTGGAAAAAAGGGAACCCTAGTACACTGTTGGTGGATATGCAGGCTGGTGTGGCTACTGTGGAAAACAGTTTGGAATTTCTTCAGAGAGAGAAAAATGGAACAACCTTTTGACCCAGCAATTCCACGGCTGGGACTATACCCTAAGAATCCCGAAACACCAATTCAAAATAACCTATGCACCCCAATGTTCCTAACAGCACAATTTACTATAGCCAAGTGCTGGAAACAACTTTAGTGCCCATCAATAAATGAAAGGATCAAAAAACTATGGTACGTTTAAGCAATAGAATACTATGCCGCAGATAGAAAGAAAGAGTTACTACCCTTCGTGACTGCATGGATGGAACTGGAGAGCGTTATACTAAGTGAAATAAGCCAGGGGGGGGAAGACAAATACCATATGATCTCACCTATAAGCGGAACATAATCAACAAAAGAAACAAGCAAGGAAAATATAACCAGTAACATTGAAAGAAAAAACAAGCCTACAGTAAGGAGTAGGGAGGAGAGGAGGTTAACGGGGAAAAGAACGGGAAGAGTCAAGTCAAAGAACATGTGTAAAGACCCATGGACAGAGCCAAAGTAGAGAAGGATTAGGGTGAGAGGTGGGGTGGGTGGGGCAGGAGAAAATGTGGTGGGAAAATGGAGACAAATGTATTTGAACAATTAAAAAAAGAAAAAGAAAGAATACTACATTTATGATCCTGGCCATATAACTCGGTTAGAGTGTCTTCCCTAAACCCCAAGGTTGTGGGGTCAAAACCTGGTCAGGGTATATGCTAGAATTGACCAATGAATGAATAAATAAGTAGAACAATAAATCTCTCTTTTCTCTCTTTTTTCTTTCTGTCTCTCTCCCTCTCCCCCTTCCTCTCTCTAAAATCAATACATTAAAAAACTTTTTTTAAGAAGAAAACTACTTTTTTTCCTGGGGTAATCTTTTTGTGTTTTGGGGGGATTGGGAGCATGGAAGGTTTCAGACAGGTGAGAACACAGGCCAAATGTGAATTTTCTTGATACCACCACATTTATAACCGTTATTGTGCCAAGAATGTCTTGAAGCTTTTGCTCTTTTCCTTGCAGATCATGTACACCCCTCGGTCTAGAGACAGGTTTACTGCCCCGTCCTTTATCCAGAGGGATCGGTTCAGCCGCTTTCAGCCCACCTACCCCTACGTGCAGCACGAAATTGACCTTCCTCCCACCATCTCCCTGTCTGATGGGGAGGAGCCACCTCCTTACCAGGGGCCCTGTTCCCTGCAGCTCAGGGACCCCGAACAGCAGATGGAACTCAACCGAGAATCTGTGAGGGCTCCACCCAACCGAACCATATTTGATAGCGATTTGATAGACATTTCTGTGTACAATGGAGGCCCGTGCCCACCCAGCAGCAATTCGGGTATAAGTGCCAGCACATGCAGCAGTAACGGGAGGATGGAGGGGCCACCCCCGACGTACAGCGAGGTGATGGGCCACTACCCAGGATCCTCTTTCTTCCATCACCAGCACGGCAATACACACAGAGGGAGCAGATTGCCATTTCAGCAGGACAGCTCTAGAAGCACAGTGGTGCCCGTCCAGGGCAAAGACAGGAAGCCTGGGAATCTCGTTTGACCCTCCAACGTGCACTTGAGTTGAGAAGAAAGAAACCGAAGAGGGAGGAGGGCTGCACAGCTCCTCTGCTCCCAGGCACAGTGCTGTCGAGTTTTACGTGCTACAACTGAGTAAAACCAAATGTGCAAATGTGGTCTTTGTTTCTGATTCCTTTCAGGGGAATTGCATGCAAACTAGACTGAAATAATACAAACTTCCATCCGGTCTGACCATAAACAGTGTTTATTTGGGGGCAGATGTAGGGAGGGGGGATGGTTTTGGAAAAGGGTGGGCATGGGAGCACAGGGAAAGGGATGCTTTGAAGATATCATGAAATAAAACACAGAGGTATTTGATTTATTTAATTATGAAAGGAGACTGCAGAGAAAGAAGCCAGAATGGCCTGTTTTATAGTTAACTGAATAAAGGAGGAAACATTATTATATATTATCATGGGGAAAAATTGGCCAGTTTGCTTTTTCTCCCAAGGTACAGAACTTTTATTTTGTTTTCAAAATATCCAAAATTCCTGGGGTTTTTTTGTGCCAAGGTAGAGGGGAGAAGTTAGATGAATGCAAGGAGTTATTTTGTGTTGTTATGACGATGTGTTTTTAAAAGTTGCACTATCTTAATGTTTAAAATATATATAAGGGAACTGTTTTATGTGACATTCTGTATGTTGTCTTTTCACCTGTGGATTATTATCAGGTCTGAGGAATACCCTGGAGTGTGCCCCATAATTGTGCAAGAACAGTTGTTTGGGGATGTAGCCTAACATGCCAACATATATAAATCAAGAAAGTTGTTATTACTATAAGAATTTGCATCAGATAGCAGTGCTTCACTGAAGCATTTGGAGACTTTTGGATGGAAGATAGGAAATACTAAGGTTCAGCATTTCTGACTTGTTGAGTTACTCTGCTAGTCTTAGGCTGCCCATTTTATTAAAAATGAATCTGACACATAAGTTTATGCATCCAGTATCATGCAGCTGCCCTTATCCTCCAGCAGCGCAATTTCTTCAGTAATTTATATTTTTTCACTGTAATATGAATTATACTCAGATACATACATTATTTTATGCAATAAATTGTTTAAAATGCAATGTGGTTATTTTTAATACTGTTGAAATAATGTAATTTCTCAATGTATTCCCATTGTCTCTCTCCTTTCCTAGACAGTTCAGTTCAGTCCAGTCCTAGACAGCTGGACAGTGCTCTAGAGGCTCTCAGTGATTGCTCCCCAGAGAGCTTCCCAGCCTCAGTATGTGAGTGATGCTGGCAGTGGCTTATTCATTCGTAGGAAGGCCAGTAATTGACAAAAGAACACCGTATTGCTGTGCATGATGATAAGCCATTGCACTTCACTAGCATGGTGCAGCATTGGAGGAATGCAGTGCTCAATATCTGAACTCCTGTGGGAGTTCACTCAGCTTTTGCAGTGGTGGCCAAAACTGGACAGTCAGTTATAAAACAGTACAGGGCAGGGGAGTGGCTTTAAAAGCACAGAATAAAAAGCACAACATGCAGTTAAAATGCAACTAGAAACTAATTTTAAATATTGTTAGTTTTAATATTCCTGATATTTGCAAATATTTATTCTTATGTACTATGAATAACTTTCTTTTGTGGAAGTAAGCACCTGGCTTTTATAATAGCAACAGCAAATAAGTCCAACCAATATCACACCATGGGAGGGCTGGTCTATAGCAATGGCCTGCTCTGCACAGCTTAGGTCCCTTTGGCCTCTGCATGTAACAAAATCTGGAATGATGACTCAGTGACTCTGATCTCTGTAGTTTTAAGGCCAAATAACACATGTGTTTGAGTCTGTCTGTGGGTCACTGAGGCGATTTATCAGTGAGGTGACTTTATGCTGTTGGCTGAGAGCTGGAGAGACTATTCTGACCTGCAAGTCTTGTTCATTGCCCTCTGCTCTTTTGGCTTCTTCTCTTGGTCAGTTGCTGGTTTCTGTTTTGTTTTGAGAATTGGACTCTTCATTGATTTTATTCATTTTACCCAGTAATAGTCACAGAACTAGTCAAACTCTGAGAAAGAGAGAGAACTAAGGTGGGCAATAATAGTTGGTTGGCACTCATACTCCAGACTCTGTCTGAAAGTGTGTTCACTGAGAATCACAGTAGGAATCCCAAGACTGGGCAGAGCCCTGAGAGCTTGACTCGGGACCAGAGCCTCCTAACTGCTCAGCTAATTGCCTGCATCACAAGCCTGTACTTGAAGGAAAGTGGCAATGTTTATGGCACAAAGCCCATCTCACCCTGTCAGGGGAATATTAGGAAGCCCTTGTCCCAGTCAGGATCCCACTGGTGGTGGTTTGGGGTAGATTATTGGTCAGGTGTCCCCTGACAGGATTAGCTAATGATATCATCCCAAATCTTGCCTGAAATTTTGGCAAAGTGGGTGAACCCACCCTGTAACTCTAGATCAAAATGGTTTTATAATCCTTAACTTCCCTATCTGCTGCAAGAATGACCTACGGTCAGAAACTTGTCAATTCCTAGTCACTTTGCAAGTATATGAATGTTTCACAGATGTCCATAGTATTGGCAAAACAATTATTTCATTCAAATAATTTTAATCATTCTTCAAATGAAAGGTTCCTCCCATTCAGCCACTCTAGAAAATTGCCCTTTAAGTTAAATAGTTATTTAAAGACAGACATATGAAACTATGACTTGAATGGTCTTGAGGCTGGACTTCAGTTATAAATTATATTAACAGCCAAGGTCATAGACTGAATTAATGATCAGTTTCCTTTTGACACAGGGAAAAGATGATTTAGATGAGTAGCTCTTTTGAAGGCTATTAGTACCCTGCCACCTCCTTGCTGGCCTGGTAGAGAGAGGAGTGATTGTGAAGACCTAGCTCGTGCAATGGAGCCTAAAGTTCAAAAAGCCTGTGTGCTGCTGGAACCCGAGGGCTCAGTTTAGAAAGCAGTGATTTAGGCAATCAATAATAGGTTGATTATTTCAGGAGAGTATTAAAACAAAGGATTGCATTGTTCAAAAGAACAGTTGGTGGGAACTGATACTCTGGGCATCATGCTGTGACTTGTCCCTTGTCCCAAAGACTTCCAGGAGTATAAAACTCAACACATGCTGAGTCTAATTTATAGAAACATAGTTTTCAGGCATGTGTTTGCTTTTTCAGAAAGTCTAGTGTTCTTTAGACCCTGAAAGAGCCCTTAGTACATAAGAGATTTTGCTAAACAAAATATGTATTTTAAAAGTTAAAGTATTCTGTTTCTGACCAAAATTTAGTACTAAAGAAGCTTAACAAGCATGTCCTCCACCTTCCCCATCACATATACACAAAGACACACAGTCCACAAGAGTTTTCAAGATAACAGAGAATACTTAAAACTTACATAGATTTATCATGAGGATACCCACACACTCATATATCTACTATACTTACGGGAAAGGAAATAGGGGTCAGTGGTAAACTGGAAGCCTTTTACTACCTGCATAGGAATGTGGCACACAGGTGAGTGAGTCTTGAGCTTCTTAATACCTCCACTGGATCTTCTTCACCTTTATCTTCATAAGAATGAAGTGTCAACAGGCAACTACCTTCAGACAGCTTCTCTTATGTGGAAAAATCCATTCAAATACCTGCCTTACTCTCAGAACAAGTAGTTGCATCCTGACAGGGGTAATCCTGTATCTTCCATCCAATTGTTCTTCCCTCAAGAAAGTCCTTTTAAGAAAGTCCTGGTGTAATGGTCTTCAGGCCTTCAGATACTGGTCCATAGCAAAGAGATATACCCATCCAACCCCTGCCCCTCAGAAGAAAGTCCGTCCGTGCCTTGGCCACTCAGGCTCCTGCGTGTTCCCAGCACCTCGCGTCTTGTTTGCTATCCTGCTGCTCTGTCCTTGAGGTTTGATGCTTAGAACTGTAACATTCACTGCATGTTAATTGATATGCCATTCATTTTTCTTAAAACTTTAAAAGCTCAGCATTGAATGAAGGAAAAAAACCTGGGAAGAATATCTGGTTTTTGTTCACTTTTTGATTTTGTCTCAGTGACTAAAAGCAGAACTATCCCAGTGCTTGGCGCCGAGCCTTTGTTCAGTGATTTACTCCCCAAGCCTGCCTCTGCTCTCGGCCAGTGTAACCAACTTTAGCTGAAAAGCAGGCACACAGGCTCTGATCTGCTTCCTTGCACCTAGATTACCACAGCCTTTGCAAATTTAGATTAAATTGCAGGACTGGGTGGAAAATTGACAAGTCCCCCTCCTTGCTGTGAGGAACACTGTATCTGATGGAGCACACCAAAGTCACAGATTAAGAAACTGCTATCACCCCAGGTCATGAATTGACCCAGCAGCTTTGTGCTTACCTAACCTTTATGGATTTAAAGGAGGCTGTTTGGCAGTAAAGAACAGAGAGGTGGATGGAAAATGGAAAGTACTCTCTTGCCTTGAGATATCCTATGTTTCAGCTTATGTTATTTTACTTCCCACAGTGCTGCATCTTTTGCATAATTCAAGTTCATGATTTCTGCCAGAATTAGAGTCATTAGTTAATGCTGCTGCTGCTGCTGCTTTCAGGTTGGCTGTATTAGGAGGTTGTCCTGAGTGGGATACCTTGCTAAGAAAGCGCTGTCTTCCCTTCATCCTTTCCTTTTCTTCCTCAGTGTGTGCTTAAGTGTACTATGGTGGGTCTTGGAGCTATACAAAAATTATCGCTACACAACACATGCATATTATGTGGATCCATATCACTGCAGAGAGCTCTGCATGTCCATAGTTTTTAAGCAACTGCATGGTCTCATGTCCTGGTGTTAGCAAACACAGGAGCCAAGCCCCACCACTGTCCTACTCTGTGCTCCACCTTTGTTGTGCCTCACTTACAATGGTGCTTCTTGAGCTGTCTGTCTTTTCCTGTTTATTTGTAAGGTGCTGTATATAACTTGAATATATTATGCACATATTCTACCCAGTGGGTAGAAGAAACATTGTTAATACTGTAATATAATGTATAGATAACAATTTTAACAGAAATGGCATAGAATTTGTGAATG